GTTCGCTATATTATGGTGCGATGCAACCACACGTTGCTATTAAAAAAGGTATATTCCCCAAGTAGTTGATAGTGGCTCCTGGAGGCTGATATGGTATTGTTGTCAATGCAATAACTTCAAAATGAGACGATATATCATTTTCAAAATTATACTATGCAAACAGGTGCATGTACTAAAACTCAAGGGTCAGTTTGAATCTCAGTCCCCTCAACCTTAAGAGGTCAGAGGTCAGTTTTTCTGAAAATCTTATGAATGCAATTTCTCAGAACGAGTCACCTAGGATTTTGAAATTGATAACATATGTGCATCTACTAGAAGACTAGGGGGCCGCACTGGTAGCCACGAGCATTTTCATGTTTGGTTTTCAATACTCGTAAACTTCCAGCCAAGCCGTAGTAAAACTTGACAAAGTGTGACACAGAAATAGAGACGATTTGCCTTCAAAGCAAAAGTTGTTCAAGAATCTTTTACTTTGAAAGTTAATGGTTCTTGTTTCCAGTTTGTGTTGCGTTTTTACAGTTTCACAGCAGCTCAAAAAGTAGCTGGATGGTGTTTGTAGGCAAGCCTGTAACTTCCATTCAGACTACGGACAGCCCACGATGAGTGGTTGATAGATGATAACCGACTGGCCTCTAAGCTGGTGTGACTGAAACCTTATTCACTTGATCCTACATCGTCACCGTGATTGTCACACATCCAAAATAGCCTACAAGCTAATGCCGTGTGGTTACCTCAAATCTTTTCTCACTCGTTTACTAGTTTTCGTCAGAACCTTCATCATGATTGTGTGAATACATGCTGACTAACTTCAGTAATAACTTCTCTTCACCTCGTCTTAGTCCCTACCGACCCCGCATATGCCTCGCTGGCTTTCACCTTAATCCACCCCCCTCCCTCCAGTCCTTCTCACTCGTTCTTATTTTAACTTCTCCCCTGTGAGAGGCACAGATAGCTGCCACAGTCAGTCTTCCCACTGATAGCTGCAGTAGTTTTTATGTTCCCACAGAGAGCTTCTCTAAACTGATGCTTGTTTCCCACAGCACATAAAGTAGATGGACAGGATATACAGGACACGTCCCCAGAATTTCTGTGGTACATCTCTTGCAATTTAGAGCCCTTTTCGGTAACATAAGTAAGATGATGCGGCATTAGAAAACTGAACGTACCTAACATAAGCAAACTCTCCCTTTTCTGCTTTCATGACCTCATTGAGTCTTATGTGTGTTCATAAATCTTGTGTGCATCTTATGATTGTCAGGTTTGACTATGAAGGTCTGGACCCACGTGCAGCCTTTTACCTAATGAGAGATCTGGAGGCAGTAATCTCAGACAAAGCATTCACCAGCCAGAAGTTTGCTGTAGGGGACCACATGTACAGCGTGGAGAAGGCTGACAACTTCGAGTACATTGACCCCGTGGATGGAACAGTGGCTCGAAACCAGGTCAGTGTAAGGAAGGCTTTAACAGCAGGATGTTGCATGACACGTTATTATTTGGCCATTCACACTACAGCTCTGACCCAAAGAAGCCCAAATGGGAATATACAGCACACCATGGGAAACACTCCAGTAGATAAGGTGTGTACTGTGGTGCAGCTCTTGACTTCGATCGTCCAGCTGCAGAACAAAGGCCAGCTGCCAGCATAAGCACCCTGAAAAAGGAATTTTTTTTTACAACAAATTAAACGTCAGCTTCCATTCAGCTCCCACAGTGCCACCACCGTACTATATAAGGTTAATTACACACTAGAAGGGAATCCCAAGACCAATTTATAAATTGCACACGAGGGAAAAAAATTCTTTAAGAATTTCCCAAATATGGGATAAATAAAGTGTTTCTTATCTTATCGTGGCCCACCAAAGCAGCCAATGCTGGATGTTCTGACAAATGTGAATTGCATGTAGTGCAAAACTGAACATGGTGACGACACAGACATCACTACAGGTGAAGGGAGCACAGGTCAACAGGAAGGCAGAGTTTAAAAAGCCCTGGCTAACTGGCTAGGTGTTTTACATTGTGACAAATCCCATTCAGCTAATCTCAGGACCCGCTGCAACAGCGGAGAAGAACATGTCAGGTGACGCTGTGTGAGGCAGGCAGGACTGGACCCAAAGTGCAGACTCACAGGCAAGACTGAACTTAACGAAATCTTTATTGCTGAATTTATAGATACATAACAAAACTGAGAAGGCTAAGGGCAGACACTAAACCGACATACAGAGAATTATCACAACGGGCAGGACACACAGCAAGAGGGAGTTCACGACAGACACAGGACAAGAGACTGTCAAAATAAAACAGGAAGCACAAGAAGCACACAATAAGACTCAGACTGACTACTACATGAAAGACGAGAGAGCGAGGGACGAGAGACACACACAGAGAAAGGACTGGGAAAACAGGAAACTAAACTAGGAGACTGACAGGCAAACAAACATGAGGACAAGACTGACTTAACTGGGAGATTCTGAGGGAAGGACACAGAGACAAGGACCTAAAAGATCCACATAACAAACAATACAACTTAAATTAGAAATACAGAAAAAGTAAAGAGTGGGAGAAAACGAAACCAGGAAACATAAGACACACCCCTTCCCTGTCCCAACTCACCTGTAAACCAATCAGCATAGCATGAACCGACACATTAATTTAGCATAGAAGGACCTTAAGCTGTAACAAGACAGATCAGGGGATCCTTTTGTGCAAAAAAGTGCAAAAAAAGATTGTTTCAAATAGTTGCCACTTAGGCTAGAGTTACTCTTAGAAGTTGTGTTTTACTGTGTTTCAATATAAAACTGGATAGCTGGGTGCTATTAGTGTCCTGTTTGCTTTACTTATCTCTCGAACCTGCTGTTTCTGTTGAGTTGTAATTGTTTTAGTAAAGTACTACACATCACTCGTAGCACAGCGCATTACTTAATTACTCGCTAGAGAAAGTGCTTCATGACACTACTGTTTACATTACTTAAGTGTTGGATTCTTCACTGGCTTGGTGTCAGCATGCTGTGCGTGCAGATGCTTGAAAAGAGTAGAAGTTGTGTAGAATGCAGCAGAATATAGTCGTTTCTGTCATGGTCTCAATTAGATTAAAAACAACCAGAACAACTTTCAAGTCATTTATTGGTTCCATTCTGCAGACTGGTTACCTTAAACTGAGATTGACAATAAGTTGACCAACCAAAAGCCACAAACCTGTTTGTTCAACCCAACATCGAATTGCATTGCATTAGAAAAGTGACTGAAAAGCTGCTTCACATCAGGTCACACACTCTCTCTTCCCTTTGTTCACATACATGTACTCAGCCTGGTGTAAGCCAGACCACCCACAGTGCTGTCTGATCAGCAAGGCTCCATGTTTGGACATGACAGTCTATCTTCCTTTTGAAATTATAAACATATGCATACATCACGTATCACTACAAACACCGATAACTCGCTAGGTTAATGTAACCTTCCTTCCTTCCCTTCTTTCTTCCTCTTTGTGTCTGTGACTTTCACCCAGCTGACTTCTCTGTCCTGCCCAGAAATTTGTGGAAATTTGTCAACACTTCTTAGCTTCCGCCCCACCTCACAAACACACACGCAAACACACACACATTGTGCATTTTGGTGTGTACATCCGTCCAGTTGTCCATGAGCGTAAGCGTGAACACATGCGTACCCTTCCACTGCCGATCCTTGTTCGCACTTGTGTTTTCCACTCTGACCACCGGCTTCACCTTGTATATCTTAACACCGTGAAGGAGTCTTTTGTTATCCTGCTGTGACTATTCCACTGTGTCACCATGGATACAGCAGG